GGGCCCCCCCGGGGGCGGGGGGACGTTTTGGGGGGGGGGGGTTGTGACACCCCCAGACCCCTGGTGACATCCCCGGGACCCTGAGTGACACTGGGGGGGTGGGACAGCCCCGGACCCCCGGTGAGACCCCCGGTGACACCCCCGGGACCCATGGGTGACATCCCCGGAGCCCCAAGTGACAGCGGGGGGGGGTTTGTGACACCCCCAGCCCCTCGGGTGACACCCCCGTGTCCCTCCCGGTGATGCCCCGGTGTCCCCCCCGTGTTTCCCTCCCCCCACGGTGACCCCGCAGTGACTCCCCCCTGTCCCCGTGTCCCTGTCCCTGTCCCCTGCAGAGGTGAGTGGTCCCGGTGTCCCCAGTGTCCCCAGTGTCCCCATGTCAGGTGAGGTGTGTCCCCCCTGTCCCCCAGATGCTGGCCGTGCCGTGCCTGTCCCCAGTGTCCCCATGTCCCCCTGGTGACCCCCCTGGTGACCCTCCTGTCCCCCCGTGTCCCCCCAGATGCTGGCCGTGCTGTGCCTGTCCCCGGTGTCCCCCTGTCCCCCCTGGTGACACCCCTGGTGACACCCATGTCCCCATGTCCCTGTGTCCCCCCTGTCCCCCAGATGCTGGCCGTGCCGTGCCTGTCCCCAGTGTCCCCATGTCCCCCTGGTGACCCCCCTGGTGACCCCCCTGTCCCCCCGTGTCCCCCCAGATGCTGGCCGTGCTGTGCCTGTCCCCGGTGTCCCCCTGTCCCCCCTGGTGACACCCCTGGTGACACCCATGTCCCCATGTCCCTGTGTCCCCCCTGTCCCCCAGATGCTGGCCGTGCCGTGCCTGTACCCATGTCCCCATGTCCCCATGTCCCCATGTCCCCCCTGGTGACACTCCTGTCCCCCCAGATGCTGGCCGTGCCGTGCCTGGCCCTGCTGGCCCTGGTGTCCCCATGTCCCCCTGGTGACCCCCCTGTCCCCCCCTGTCCCCCAGATGCTGGCCGTGCCGTGCCTGGCCCTGCTGGCCGCGCTGGCCCCCGCGGTGGCCCCCGGGGGGGCTCTGTCCTTCCTGGCGCTGGGGGACTGGGGGGGGCTGCCCGAGCCCCCCTTTGTCACCCCCCGGCAGGTGGCCGTGGCGGCCGCCATGGGCCGCGCTGTCACCGAGCTGGGCGGGGACTTCGTGCTGGCCCTGGGGGACAACTTCTACTACGAGGGCGTGCGCGACGAGTGGGACCCGCGCTTCCAGGTGAGCGGGGGTCCCCAGGGTCCCCAGGGTCCCCTGGTGTCCCCACGGTGTCCCCATTGTCACTGTGATGTCCCCATTGGCCCCTGGTGTCCCCAGGGTCCCCAGGGTCCCCATGATGTCCCCACGGTGTCCCCATTGTCCCTGTGATGTCCCCATTGTCTCCCCGGTGTTCCTGTGGTGTCCCCATTGTCCCCAGGACACCCTTGAGGGCGTGTTCGTGTCCCCATTGGCCCCGTGGTGTCCCCAGGGTCCCCAGGGTCCCCATTGGCCCTGTGATGTCCCCAGGACACCTTCAAGGGCGTGTTTGTGTCCCCATTGTCCCCATTGTCCCCACGGTGTTCATGTGGTGTCCCCATTGTCCCCATTGGCCCCATTGGCCCTGTGGTGTCCCCCATTGTCCCCAGGACACCTTCGAGTGCGTGTTCGTGTCCCCATTGTCCCCATGGTGTCCCCATTGGCCCCGTGGTGTCCCCATTGGTTCTGTGGTGTCCCCACTGTCCCCCGTGTCCCCAGGACACCTTCGAGCGCGTGTTCCTGTCCCCATTGTCCCCTGATGTCCCCATGGTGTCCCCCCTGTCCCCAGGACACCTTCGAGCGCGTGTTCGCGGCCCCGGCGCTCCGCGGCGTCCCCTGGTTCGTCATGGCCGGGAACCACGACCACGCCGGGAACGTCACCGGGCAGCTGAGCTACAGCGGCCACTCGCCGCGCTGGTACGGCCCGTGTCCCCAGGGTGTCACCAGGGTGTCACCAGGGTGTCACCAGAGTGCCACCAGAGTGTCACTGAGTGTCACCGAGTGCCACCAGAGTGTCACCAGGGTGTCACCGAGGGTCCCCAAAGTGTCCTCGAGGCTCTCCAAGGGTCCCCAAAGGGTTCCCAAGGGTCCCCAGAGTGTCCCCGAGGGTCCCCAGAGTGTCACCAAGGGTCCCCAGGGTCCCCAAGGGTCCCCAGAGTGTCACCAGAGTGCCACCGAGTGTTCCCAGGGTCCCCAAGGGTCCCCAAAGTGTCCCCAGAGTGTCCCCGAGGGTCCCCAAAGTGTCACTGAGGGTCCCCAAAGGGTTCTCGAGTGTCCCCAGCTGTCCCCAGGTGTCCCCTCCCTGTCCCCTCTCCCCCAGGCGCTTCCCCCACCCGTACTACAGCCTGTGCCTTGTGCTGGGGTGTCCCCACACTGTCCCCAGGTGTCCCCAAATGTCCCCAAGTGTCCCCACACTGTCCCCTGTGTCCCCTCCCTGTCCCCAGGCGCTTCCCCCACCCGTACTACAGCCTGTGCCTTGTGCCGGGGGTGTCCCCAAATGTCCCCAAATGTCCCCTGGTGTGTCCCCAAGTGTCCCCACACTGTCCCGTGTCCCCTCGGTCCCCAGGCGCTTCCCCCACCCGTACTACAGCCTGTGCCTTGTGCTGGGGTGTCCCCTCACTGTGCCCAGCTGTCCCCAGCTGTCCCCAGGTGTCCCCAGGTGTCCCCAGGTGTCCCCAGGTGTCCCCTCCCTGTCCCCAGGCGCTTCCCCCACCCGTACTACAGCCTGCGGCTGCACCTGCCGGGCTCCAACGCCTCGGCGCGCCTGCTGGTGCTGGACTCGGTTCTGCTCTGCGGCCGCGGCGACGATTTCGGCGCGGGCCCGGCGGGGCCGGGGGACGCGGCGGCGGCGGCGGCGCAGCTGGGCTGGCTGCGGGCGCAGCTGGCGGCGGCGGCCGGGGACAGCTTCGTGCTGGTGGCCGGGCACTACCCGCTCTGGTCCGTGGGCAAGCACGGCCCCACGGCGTGCCTGCTGCGGCTGCTGCGGCCGCTGCTGCGGCGGCACCGCGTCAGCGCCTACCTGAGCGGGCACGACCACAACCTGCAGGTGAGGCAGGGACAGGTGAGACACGGGGGGCTCGGATCCTGCCCAGGGAGGGACCTGAAAGGTGCGCGGGGACCCCAAAGGTGTTCAGGGACCCCCAAAAGTGCACAGGGACCCAAAGAGGTGTGCAGAGACTCCCAAATCCTGCCCAGGGAAGGACTCAAAGGGCTGGGGACCCCCAGAAGTGTGTGAGGACCCCCAAAAATGCGCGGGGACCCCCAGAGGTGTTCATGGACCCCCAGACATGGGCAGGGAGGGACTCAAAGGGCTGGGGACCCCCAAAGGTGCTCCCTGGGGACACCGCAGCGGCCCTGAGTGGAAAAGGGGACAGGGGGACACTGGGGACACCATGACGGCCCTGAGCGGGACACGGGACAGGGGACAGGACAGGGGGACAGGGGACACTGGGGGCATTGGGGACACCAGGACAGGGGACAGGGGACAACAGGACATTGGGGACACCAGGACCCCTTCCCTGGGGACACCCCGAGGCCGCTGAGCCCCCACTGGGAACACTGGGGACAGTGGCAGCCCGGCCTTTGGGGACACCCCGCCACCTCTGAGCCCTTGGGGACACCGGGGACCGGACACTGAGCCGGGGGCGCTGGGGACGGTGACCCCTGACCTCTGGGGACATTGGGGACACTGACCCCTGACCTCTGGGGACATTGGGGACGGTGACCCCTGACCTCTGGGGACATTGGGGACCAGACGCTGACCCCTGACCTCTGGGGCCGCTGCCCCGGGCCGCCCCCGTGCCCCCGCCCCCAATAAAGGCTCTGCCGGCCCCGAATCCGCCGCGATTCGCCCCAAAAACCGCGGGGGGGCGGAGCCTGGCGCCGCTGGCCACGCCCCCCCCGCTGCCGATTGGCTGCGCCGCGCGTCCATCTGGCGGGCGGGACGTCTCGCGTTGCGCGCTGCTGATTGGCTGGAGCGCTGGGCCCGCCACTAATGAGCGGGGCGCTCGCGGGTCACGTGGGGCGGAGCGCGGGTTTTCCCGCCGCTGATTGGCTGAGGGCGGAGGGGCGGCACTTCCGGGAGCGCGGCGTGAGGGACCGGGAGGGACCGGGAGGAACCGGTCTCCCCCCGGAGGGACCGGGAGGGACCGGGAGGGACCGGGGGGCTCCAGCCGCCCCCGGCACGCCCCACAGCGGCTCGGGGCCGCTCCGAGGCGGCTCCCGCGGCCGATCCCGGTGCGGTTCCCGTTGCCGGCGCCGTTCCCGGTCCCGCGCTCCGGTGCGGCCGCCATGGGCCGCCGCAAGTCCAAGCGGAAGCCGCCGCCCAAGAAGAAGATGACGGGCACGCTGGAGACGCAGTTCACGTGTCCCTTCTGCAACCACGAGAAGTCCTGCGACGTCAAGATGTGAGCGGGGGGCACCGGGAACCGGGGGGGCACCGGGAACGGGCACGGGGGCGGCGGCAGCGCGGAAACAGCGAGGAGGGACCCGGGGGGAGGCGCGGAGCGGGGACGCGAGGCGGCGGTGCCGGTCCCGGGGAGGGGGGTGCCGGTCCCGGTGGCACCGGGAGCACCGGGAGCACCGGGAGCGAGCCCGGAGCGCTCCCGAGCCTCTCGCGGCCCGCAGGGACCGCGCCCGCAACACCGGCGTCATCTCGTGCACCGTGTGCCTGGAGGAGTTCCAGACCCCCATCACCTGTATCCTTACCGGGACCCCCCCCGGGACCACCGGGACCCCCCCGGGACCCCCCCGGGACCCCCAAACCCGCGTTGGAGCCTTAACGGCGCCCCCAGACCTGTCGGAGCCCGTGGACGTTTACAGCGATTGGATCGACGCCTGCGAGGCCGCCAACCAGTGACCCCGGGAGGGGACACCGGGGGGGACACCGGGGGGGACACGGCCGGTCCCCAAAGCCCGGCGGGGCCAGGACCCCCCCCGGGGCTTGGTGACATCCCCCGGTGTCGGTGTCACCCCCCGGCCCCGCTGTGTCGGTGACATTTCCCCCCCCGCCGTGTCCCGTCCCCTCGGTGACACCGCCGGGGGCGGCGGCGCTGCAATAAACGGCCCGAGGGTCCCGCGCTCCGGTGCGGCCGCCATGGGCCGCCGCAAGTCCAAGCGGAAGCCGCCGCCCAAGAAGAAGATGACGGGCACGCTGGAGACGCAGTTCACGTGTCCCTTCTGCAACCACGAGAAGTCCTGCGACGTCAAGATGTGAGCGGGGGGCACCGGGAACCGGGGGGCACCGGGGGGCACCGGGAACGGGCACGGCGGCGGCGGCAGCGCGGAAACAGCGAGGAGGAGACCGGGGGGGAGGCGCGGAGCGGGGACGCGAGGCGGCGGTGCCGGTCCCAGGGAGGGGGGTGCCGGTCCCGGTGGCACCGGGAGCACCGGGAGCACCGGGCCGGAGCCCGGAGCGCTCCCGAGCCTCTCGCGGCCCGCAGGGACCGCGCCCGCAACACCGGCGTCATCTCGTGCACCGTGTGCCTGGAGGAGTTCCAGACCCCCATCACCTGTATCCTTACCGGGACCCCCCCCGGGACCACCGGGACCCCCCCGGGACCCCCCCGGGACCCCCAAACCCGCGTTGGAGCCTTAACGGCGCCCCCAGACCTGTCGGAGCCCGTGGACGTTTACAGCGATTGGATCGACGCCTGCGAGGCCGCCAACCAGTGACCCCGGGAGGGGACACCGGGGGGGACACCGGGGGCGACACGGCCGGTCCCCAAAGCCCGGCGGGGCCAGGACCCCCCCCGGTGTCGGTGTCACCCCCCGGTGTCGGTGTCACCCCTCGGTGCCCCCCCGGCCCCGCTGTGTCGGTGACATTTCTCCCCCCCCGCCGTGTCCCGTCCCCTCGGTGACACCGCCGGGGGCGGCGGCGCTGCAATAAACGGCCCGAGGGCGGCCCGGTGTCCCCCGGTGTGCCCCGGTGTCATTCGGTGTCCCCCCCGTGTCCCCGCACTGTCCCAGCGCTGTCACCTCTGCGAGTGGCTTTTATTGTGCCTCGGTGGCTTCACACGTGGCGGGGACCGAACCCCCCGGGACCGGAACCGGGACCGGAACCGGAACCGAACCCCCCGGAATGGGAACCGAACCCCCCGGGACCGGAACCGGGACCGGAACCGGGACCGGGACCGAACCCACCGGGACCGGGACCGAACCTGGGATTGAATCCCCCGGAACCGAGACCGGAACCGAACCCCCCGGAATGGGAACCGAACCCACCGGGACCGAACCTGGGACTGAACCTGGGACTGAATCCCCCGGGACCGAACCCCCCGGGACCGGGACTGAACCCGGAACGGGCACCGGAACCGAGCCCCGGACTGAGCCTGAAGCCGGGGCCGAACCCTGAACCGATCCCGGGGCTGATCCCGGGACTGGATCCCCCGGGCCCGATTCCCCCCGGGGCCGTCCCCGGGGCCGTCCCCAGCGCGGTTCCCCCCCGGCTCCGCTCCCGGGATCGTCCCCGCCGGCTCCGCTCGGTCCCGGATCCAATCCCGGGATCGTTCCCGCCCGGGGGGGGCGGTGCTCGGTGCTGCCGCCGCCGGGAGCGCTCCCGGGGCCGATCGCGGTACCAGTCCCGGTGCCGGTGCCGGTCCCAGTGCTACCCCCACTCGGAGCGCTCCCGGAGCCGATCCCGGTCCCGATCTCAGTCCCGGAGCCGTTCCCGGTGCTGCCCCCGTCAGGAGCGCTCCCGGAGCCGTTCCCGGTCCCGATCCCATTCCCGATCCCGTTCCCGGTGCCGGTGCCGATCTCGGTCCCGTTCCCGTTCCCGGTGCCGGTGCCGGTCCCAGTGTGGCCCCCACTCGGAGCGTTCCCGGTGCCGATCCCGATCCCGATCTCAATCCCGGAGCCGATCCCGTTCCCGGTGCCGGTGCCGAACTCGGTCCCGGTCCCATTCCCGGTGCCGATCCCGGTCCCGATCTCAGTCCCGGAGCCGTTCCCGGTCCCGGCACTGATCCCGTTCCCGGTGCCGGTGCCGGTGCCGATCTCGGTCCCGATCCCGTTCCCGGTGCCGATCTCGGTCCCGTTCCCGTTCCCGTTCCCGTTCCCGGTGCCGATCCCGGTCCCGTTCCCGGTCCCGATCTCGGTCCCGGTGCCGGTGCCCGGCGCGGCGCGGTGAGGCCGGTGCTGGCGAGCGGTGCTGTCGGGCTGCAAGCGGCCGCGGGACCGGCGGCTACTGCGAGTTGTAGAAGGCTCCGGGGGCGCCGGGGCCGTCGAGGCCGTCGAGGCCGAGCAGCTCGGGGCCGCCGCAGTACTTGGGGTCGTAGACCTGGCGCGGCAGCCCGTACACCGTCATGCCGGTCTGCGAGGCGCCCTTGTTGCTGCCCATCTGCAGCCCGATGGTGCCCGTGTCGCAGCGCTCCATGCCCAGCGCCGGCTCGAAGATCTGCCGCTTGGTGCCCGGCGCCGTCATGCCCGCCTGCGGGGACGGCGCGGCGCTGGGCACGGGCACCGGGCGGGGTAATGGCAACGGGGACCGGGGCGGGCACCGGGACCGGAGCGGGGCGGTGGCAATCCATAGTGGCAGTGTCCCCATGTCCCCCTTGTCTCCGCAGTGTCCCGTGTCCCCGTGGGGTGGCAGTGTCCCCGCGGTGTCCCCAAGGTGGCAGTGTCCCCGTGTCCCCACGGTGTCCCGTGTCCACGTGGGGTGGCAGTGTCCCTGTGTCCCTATGTCCCCCCATGGTGGCAATGTCCCCATGGTGGCAGTGTCCCCATGGGGTGCCAGTGTCCCGTGTCCCCCCATGGTGGCAGTGTCCCCGCGGTGTCCCTGCGGTGTCCCATGTCCCCGTGGTGGCAATGTCCCCATGGGGTGCCAGTGTCCCGTGTCCCCATGGTGTGGCACTGTCCCCGCGGTGTCCCCGTGTCCCCGCGGTGTCCCCATGGTGGCAGTGTCCCCATGTCCCCCATGTCCCCGCAGTGTCCCGTGCCCCCATGGGGTGGCAGTGTCCCTGTGTCCCTATGTCCCCCCATGATGGCAGTGTCCCCGTGTCCCCGCAGTGTCCCCGTGTCCCCGCGGTGCCCCCACCTGGCTGGCGCCCTTGTTGGTGCCCATCTGCAGGCTGATGGTGGCCTGGTCCAGGGGCTGGTCCGTGCCCAGTTTGGGGTCGTACAGGTGTCGCCGTGTCCCGTACGCCGTCATGCCCTGCTGGCTGGCGAACTTGTTGGTGCCCATCTGGGGACGGCGACAGCGCGGCGTCACCCGCTGTGCCCGAGGGCCCCCGGGTGTCCCGGGGGTGTCCCGGGTGTCCCCCCGGTGTCCCCGGTGTCCCCCCGGTGTCCCCGGTGTCACCTGCAGCCCGATGATGTTCCTGCCCTCGCGCAGTTTCTCGGGCTGGAAGCGCCGCTGCTGCTTCTCGGCGTATTTCCCGTACGCCGTCATGCCCTGCTGGCTGGCGAACTTGTTGGTGCCCATCTGGGGACGGCGACAGCGCGGCGTCACCCGCTGTGCCCGAGGGGCCCGGGTGTCCCGGGGGTGTCCCGGGGGTGTCCCGGGTGTCCCCCCGGTGTCCCCGGTGTCCCCCCGGTGTCCCCGGTGTCACCTGCAGCCCGATGATGTTCCTGCCCTCGCGCAGTTTCTCGGGCTGGAAGCGCCGCTGCTGCTTCTCGGCGTATTTCACCCCCAGCCCCACCTTGTTCCCCTTCGTCTTGGCCTGGGGGGCACCGGGGGGGGGTTCAGGGGGGGCTCATGGGGCCCCCCAGACCCCAAATACCTGAGATGGACCCCAAAATCCCGACCCAGATCCCAAAATCCTGACCCGGACCCCAAATCCCCTCCCCAAACCCCAAATCCTCTCCCCAAACGCCCCTCTGCATCCCCTCAAGTCTCCTCCAGGACCCTCCCTGGGCTCTGTCCCTCCCTGTGGCCCCCCCGGGACCCCTCCAAGACCCCCGGGGGTTTGGGGTTGGGGTTGGGTTTGGGGTTGGTTTGGGGCCAGGTTTGGGTTTGGGGTCCGGTTCGGGGCCACATTTGGGTTTGGGGTTGGTTTGGGGTCTGGTCTGGGGTTTGGATTTGGGGTTGGGTTTGGGTCTGGAGTCAGGTTCAAGACTGGGTTTGGGTTTGGGGTGGGGTTTGGGTTTGGGGCTGAGTTTGGGGCTGGTCTGGGTTTGGGGTCAGGGTTGGGGTTGGGGTCCGGTTTGGGGTTTGGGGTCAGGGTCAGGTTTGGGTTTGGGGTCTGGTTTGGGGTCAGGTTTGGGTTTGGGCTCGGGGGCTTCGTGTTGGGCTTCGTGTGCTGGGCTGGGGCTCGGCCTCCCCTGCGGGAGAAGGTGAGGGGGGTCCCCGGGGGTCGTGTCCCCCCTCAGAGCGCGTCTGACTCCCCCATGTCCCCCCATGCCGGCGTCACCCCCTTCGGGGGTTTTTTGAGGGTTCCTGGGGGTCCTGGGGAGGTTTTGAGGGTCCTGGGGGGGTCCCAGGGGTCTCGGGGGTCCCTGGGGTGGTCCCAGGTGTGTCCCGGGGTGGTCCCAGGGGGGTCCCGGCGGTCCTGGGGGGTCCCGGGGGTCCCGGGGGTGCCGTACTCGCAGAGGATGACGCC